CCATTTGCATTAATAAAAAGCACGCAATCACAGCACTGCCCTGAATATTATAATGAAATAAATATTCAAAGTTCAATTGACGCCCTTGTGAGCACGCTGCTCAACTAAACGAAAGATCGCGCGCATGTGGGTGAATGCACGTTCAAATTTGAATTTCTAACTGCACGTATACGCGGCGAACGTTGGATTTTAAATTATTCTCTCTACTCGTGAGCATTCGAAATTAAACAGAATCCCGAGTAAATGTTACCTCTATTACCGCGTGCCTCTTTTACAGCTGAATCATTTGATGTGAAAAATTAATCCTTGACAAAAAGGCAACCAATTCGCGCGCGTTCGATCGTGCGCCGAATATTTTTCTGTCTAATAAATTACGAAAACAGCCGCAACCAATGATCGTAAATGTCACGCTTGATGCTCGCCATCGCAGGTCAAAGGCTTGTTCAAATATTTATAAACAATTTTTCCATCTTAAAAAAAAAAATTCGACTCTTGCGTTCCACAACTGGCAGCAATATCGCGGCGAGAGCGACACGGTAAGCATTCTGAAGTAAACATCGAGTGGCGCACACGAGCAAATTTGCATCGCGCACCGACAGGCAGACAGGCAGCCTTTGACGCTGCCGCCACGGAAAATCGATATGGCACGTGACGCTTAAGAAAATACGAGGCCTGTCCCGATGTGCATAACATGGATATGTCGTCGCTGGCGAGTAGTAAGTCAAAGAGAACTTGGTAATCTTCCTTCGCTTCTGGCGCGATAAGAAGGGAAAAAGCGCCATTATCATCTTCCGACACGAGAGCACTTCGTTATAAAAAAAAGAGGAGAGAAGAGAGAAATCGAAGGATCTCGTTTCGTCACGTGTAATTGGGCTGGCTTCTTATAAAAGAGGCGAGCCGTTGGGATATAAAAGAGTGGGGTGATAACGTCAAAGTCCTTGGGAGCGAGAGAGAGAGCGAGTTGATTAGATGGCGCGCGTCTGCTCGCTGTCGAGGGCCAATTGTTTTGCCAATCTCGAGAGTGGATCGTCGTCGTCGTGTGTAAAGGGCGTGTTGGCTGCTGCTACTCCTGCCTATCGTACTCCAGACACTACGTGACGGGGCGCTGCTGCTCGGTGGCGATGGATTAACGGCATGTAAATTTTCCGTTCGATTTTATTGCACTAAACTACCTTCCATGCACACACCTTCAAATTCGATTGTATTTGTAAGCCGAATTCATTGTCTGTAGGAGATTAACACGTCTGTACCATAGATTGCACAAGTATTGAGTTCGATTTGTAGTGAAGGTCTTTTTCTGATTACGCTAGTTCGTGCGATAATTAGACTAACAAATACTTTTCTTTCAATTTTATGTAGTCGTGTTTAATAGAGTTCTGATTAGAAATTCTCATAATTTCTGCTTGGTAACATGCCCAGAGCTATAAACGATGCTACGACAAAAATAAATCGCCGAAAGCAAAACGAAAATTTCTACGAAAAACAAATTACATAATCAGCATAAGTAACAACGAGGGGCAGATATTCAATTTCGGCGCGTAAAATACATTTTAAATTCAGATTAGCCAGTTAAATTTAACGTAAGCGATATTTTAAAAGTCGCTTGGGGGCCGAATGGAAAAAGCCAGGCCATAGGCAAAAAGACGAGAGAGCAGAATCGAGAGGCATTAAGGAAGAGCGTAGATAGAGAACGGATAAAACGAGAGTGAAAGAGAGAGAGAGAGAGAGAGAGAGAGAGAGAGAGAGAGAAAGCGCGAGAGAGAGAGAGAGAGAGAGAGAGAGAAAGCGTGGCGCGAGTAAATGATAATAGATAAAGAGAATGGGGTGGCTGGCTGTTGAAATAGATCACCGCGCGAGATAGCGCGAGACAGAAAGAGCGATGCTAATCTGCATCGCTGCGGGTTTATTGCTCGCCAGCCGAGAAACAAACAAGCGCAAGCGAGCGAACGTCATTATTTATCCGAGCAGTCGAGCGATTGCGGTTGAGGAATAACGCCATGGCATTTGTTTTCACCTCTCGCGAGCTTGCAAAACCAGTCCTTTTCTTTCATTTTTATCGTGCCTGCTTGTTGGCATTTCATAGAATGTCCATTTCTTTGCGCTTTTTCATCGTACGTTGATATCGCGTTTGTTGACTCGGTAAATTAGCGAGATATTGAGTCGCCTAGCTTCGGACCACTTAAAAAACTTTTGACAAATGACGCACTGTTTGCTTTGCTGAGTAACTGCCTTTATAAATTTAAAAAAGTATTATGGTTAACACTTGAGCTTGATGGCGAAGAAAATCTCATCACGCGATAAAAAATATTATGTAACACTTTAAAGAGTTTCGAATGAATATTCGAGTGTTTCTTCGATGAAAGAGGTAGAATTTAGTTGCAAAAGTGCTTGAAAATCCTTCCTCTTTCTCTAATTATTTACTTTAATTTGACAGGCACTAAATGATTCTTTGCTCTTTTTATATAAGATAAAAAATTTAACATCTCACGCTCTGAACAGGCAAAGGAATGAATTTAAAGGAGCCAACTTCTTTATGTTATGATGAAATAGTAAACGGCAATCCGCATTGGCAGCTCGAGCGAAACAAACAAATCAGATATGCTAAGAAACAAATTGGATTGTCTAGCCACATAGGAGAATTTCTTGCCGCACGCACTAACTACCGTTTCACCGTTATTCTCAGTTGAGATATTACGAGGCAAGGTTTAGTAAAGCTCCTCTCCCAAACCAGTGTGCTCGTTTAAAGCACTCCCTAATGAATTTCCCACAGCTTATTCATCAGCAGTGGACAAACTTAGGGGGTCTCAAGGTGGAGAAAAACCCACGCGTACAAACTGCGCGCATTGAAAGTTCGCGCGCCACGACAAGAACATTCGCGCGCGGCTTCCTGTCGGACGATAAATAAAGCTCCGCGTTAACTCGTGTGAGATGCGAAGATTTCGATAAAGCTTTCGAGCGCGCCAGTGAGAAAAGGCAAGAAATAGGAGAGGTGTTGCATGCTCTATTCTCACGAGATTTGAAGATATGGCTGTTGCCGTTGTCGCTGAAGTTTTCCTGTGGCGCGGAGGCGAACGGGTTTCATTTTTTTCTTTCGAACGGTTGCGGGCTATCGTTCGAATTTTTTTCTTCCCCTATTTCATGGTCGATATATTTTGAATTGTTCGAATTTGGATGCACCGTCGACCTGAAAAGCACTCGACCTTAAAAGAGTTTTACTGTTCAATGGTGAAATCGATTACTATCCAGCTACGCGCTTGAGCTCTTCATTTTAATGCCCTTAGAGGTCCTCTTTTTATTTATTTAAAATTTGTGAATGATTTCTATTTGGCTTTATAATTCTGATTTCTGATTGGTCAAAAGGCTTCTCTTTTGACTAATCAAAAATAAAAATCATCATCAACAGATTACCTCTTTGTTCCTTTCTTACTCTAATCAACTTTAAACGAATTTCATTACTAAATTGATTACGCTCGTTTTCGAACTGTGCCGTAAAAACTTTCGACCAGAGAAAAAAGAATTAGTTCTCCGTGGCACATTTTAATACAAGTTTAAATCTTTATCTAATCAGTAGAGCGTGAAATTCATGCTCCAATAAACGAGCTCAACAATCCGAAAATAAGAAGAAATTTGAGAAAAAGAAAAAAATAAACAAGTTTCGATTAGCTTTCCATTAAAAGAGCTTCAAAGCTTGAAATAAAAAAAAGGTGTCATTGCGATGCGATATGCTTGAACATGAAAATTTCTTGGTAAATTTCATCAAAAGATTATCCCTCTCTCTCTCTCTCTCTCTCTCTCGCTCTTATTCTAGCGTCGACAAAACGGAAAGGATTCTTGGTCTTTGGGGTTTCAAAGGAAACTGAATGAATAAAAAACCTAACAAAACCTACGGAATGCCTTAAAAATTATAGGAACACCGCGGAATAAGAAAAAATACTTCTTACCTCGCGCATCCGAGACAAAGACAAAAGAAGAGAGTCAGGCTGATTGGCGCTTGATGCAACTTCGTGCGGGTAACTTTTTTTTTGGCTTATTTTCTTTTATTTCTAACCCCACTTTCTGGCTTTTTTTTAACTCATTCATCACGCGCACACAGCAAAATCCCGGAGTACACGGGCGTTTTCCCGGAGAAGGCTTAAACCGACAAAAATCCGGCCGCCAAGCGTTGCTCTGCTACGAGCGAGAGAGAAAAGTTTGCCAAGGGAAGACGCTTGCTCGAGCGAGCGGAAAAGTAAGTGAGTGACGGGGGAGAGCGAGAGAGAGGTTAAGTGGCTGCAGACTCTTAATTTTTTTTTCTCGCCAGCTAAACGACGCCCAAACATCTGTATTGTTAAATAGTGACGCATCACTGCAGGAACCATCTTACACGTTTGCGCGAAAAATATTTTGTTTTTTTTCGCGATTTCTCCAATATTTTCACATTTTATGAAATAATGCATATAACTCCACGCATATCTGCAATAAATTAACTCAATAGTTGATATTGTTGAAGTATTAACAATTTAGGATACACTCAGTTTTATAAAACTCATGTTAAATTTAATATGAATAAAATATCTAAGTTCGGTCTACTTAAATCTATGAATGTTATTTCAGAGCTTCATCCAAGCTTAGACTACGGAAATACTTATTTCTGTTATTAAACTTGACCTATATCGGATTTAAATTTTACTTATTTTGTTAGTGCTGTAAATATTAATTTTGAAATTTAGCTCGAAAATTTTTTAGTGATAGCGAAATATCATCTTGAGTAAATCCACAATTCATTCAAAGCAACTATTATTCTCTGACAATTGAAGAAAACTCGCGGGTAATACCTAATCTTTATTAGAGCGTTATCAGAGCGTAGAATAAGAAGAATGAAGTAAGAAAGCGTGGCTCGAATGTCTCGAGTGGTAATCCGGATGAGGCTGCAATTGCCGCCGAAATCGACGGAAGCGTGACGTGGACGACGCCGTAGCTTTCTCCTCGTTGGTACAGGAAGAAGAAAGAGAGATAAGAGGATGGCGTCGAAAAGGATTAAGTACGCGCGGGCGCATCTCTCGCGGCGGAGGCACATCGCGCTACTTGCCAGGCCTCACTGGAGGCGCACCGCCCCTGACTTCAACAGCATCGTGAGTACCTCCATCTTTCTCTCGTTCTCTATTTTTTTTTGCTTACTTAGGATAGAGCCGTTTACCTCCCTACGGCCGGTACTCTTAGTGCCTTTCTACTTCTTGACGGGCCAAGGCTTTACTCCTAAGGACTTGCTTCTTTCTCACGCGTTTTTGTTTTTATTCTTTTTTCTTCTCTTGTGCCGCTTCACGTTTGAACATTTCCTTGGCTAAGGGTGTGACGGAATCTTTTTCTTTGAGAACACTCGTAGAAAGCGCAGGTACGAACTTTTTGAATTTTAAATTTGCGTCATTGAACCAAAAAAATGGGCTCTCGTGATTTATGCATGTCTTAGTTGAATGACACAAACGCGCGTCGCGGTTCACCGAAAGAAAAATCCATTCAAGACTTAGTATTTTTCTGTTGAAGTATTTGCGTTGAAAAGCTGTATTAAATAATTATGGAATGTTTATTTTGAAGTAAAAAGGGACTAAACTTGAGAGAGAGATATATATGAATACATATATAGTGAGGGAAAGAGAGAGAGAGAGAGAGAGAGAGAGAGAGAAAATTGAACAAAATAATCTTGCAGATGGCATCGCTCAAAATCTACTCTGGGATAATCTTGAGATTTTCGTTAGAAGATACATTCGTCCTGCGATAGCATTCAGTCGTAGCTTCAAATCGTCTTTTCGTAGTATTCACGCGACCTATTTTCACTTCAGTTATGCAACGACGAGAGAGGGGGAGGGAGGGAGGGAGAGAGAGAGAGAGAGAGAGAGAGAGAGAGAGAGGGAGAGAGAGAGAGGCCAGGGCAAAAAAAGACGATATTGGTGCTTTAAGACATGTACTGTTACACTCATAAAATAACTACTACGTGCAGTTCTGTCGTGACTTTCACCTCTTTCCTTTGAGTTAGATTATCTCATTAAACATGGCTTTCGATTACGAGTAACGATCGCTATTAAATACAATTAATTCATGTCTGACGGAATAGCCTTTATACTACTTGCACAAGTCACTATTGAGCGATTTATAAAAGAAAAAAAGATTTTTTTTTACTGTATACCCGATTTTGATGATAAATATTGCTACAGCTAATAGCACGGGCAATAAAGAGTTTTCCAATAAACCTCGTCCGTGCCTTTGAAATTTTTCAATAAACTATCAAGTTGTATTTTCTATCAATATTGATACAGATCTTTTAAAAGCTTCGACCGTATCAGATTTCAGCAACTATATCGAGCGGGAAACCATAGTCCTCTTTCTCTATAGTTCGTCGAGGTCAATATCGAAAACAGCTCAGGCGACTACGCACACACATACACGCACACGCGCTCTTAGAATCCAAGCCACGATATGAGGGTGGAGTCGCTTCATCAGTATCTGCATGTAAATTATCGACTGCAAAATCACGTACATCGTTTGGCTGGTGACGGATTTTTGCCAGATGCAGGAAACGAATCTCTGCCAAAATTTTCATACGAATCGAGTCAATGTGCGGTCTCGACTCGCTTGCCCATCGACTGCGAAATGCACTTGCAGGGGCTTTTGTGGAAAATAGTAATTTGAGGTCTCAGATTCTTGTTCGTTTTTTGTGAAAACTTCAACTAAGAATATTTTTTTCTTTTAAATTATGTGCAAATAGTCTCGAAGATCTTTTTCGGTATAAAAAACTATTCTCCTCCTATATTTTAAGGCAATTGAACAATGATGGCTTTACATCAGAGTTTAGTAAATCTAAAATTTCTTACAAAAGTAAATTGAAATATTGTTCAAGCAATATTTACATGTCAAATGATCGAGTATTCATGAGGATTTTTTGATAACAGACTCAACATATTTCACTTTTTTCCGACTTTAAAAAAGAAGAGGTTCTATATTTGACCTGATTTTTTATGCATGCCCGCTTATATTTCTGGAACGGTTCTACTGATTTTAAACAGGGTAAGCCTATTTCAAAGAGTATGCTTCTGAGATGAACCCGTTTGATTATTTAGTTGATTGAACAAAAACCTTGCAAGTAATTGCAAAAAATGATAAAATCAACTTATTTTTTGAACACAATTAATTTGGTAAATTATTTTTACGAAACAATAAATTATCAAATGTAAGTTTACAAAAATTTATAAATGAGTAATATCATATATCGTAATTATTTTGTCGACAAATTCAATACAAAATAATGTAACAAATCACAAAGGAAAACAAGTACAAATTGGAAGAGAAATCAGCAGTATTTGATTGTCATATTCTTTTTCACAATAGAATTCAAGCAAACAACATTAAAAATATAGCAATCAACAAAAATCCAATAAGTTCATTATCCACAAAAATCTTCATTTTCAATCTCATATTTCATATAAAATAATACCTGCATCCGAAATAAGCAATAAGCGTTACCAGATTGCTGGCATCGGAAAATTTGATTCAACGATAAGAAAAAATGCAGTAAATTACGAATGAGTTAGATTTTATTGCAGATGAGACAATATTTCTTTCTTCTCCCGAAGTCGGTTCGATGCCGGTTATTATTCATTCATGGTTTATGGTTCGAAGAAAGGCGACCGAGATATCAATTTAAGATTACTAGCGTTATGTTTCACGCCTACTGGCAGGCAATTGAGTAATCTCGTTATTTTTTTTATCACGAGCGCGAAGATAGCGAAAGAGAACGGAACAGAAAAAAAGCCTTTTATTTGTTCAACTCAATGGAAACCAATCATAGTAGTAGCTGTGAATTCACGATCCTCTTGTACGAGAAAGTCAATACGTTTATGGAATGAACCGATTGTGCAATAAGATTTCTTGTTTCGAAACTGCATTGCGGATCACGCAACTTTTATTTTTGCCCTTATGCACGTGTAGCTCCAGGCAAGTGGTCGAAAGTATGTTCAGCTCGTACAGCAAAAGTACTAAAATTGTGTTCCGGGTCAGAGTGTTCGCAACTAAACAGCCGAGCGGTTCGTTATGCATCACCTATCGCATCTGCAATAACTCGAGCTCAAGTAACCAAGCCAATAACAACAATCCGTCGCGCGTATGAAATACGTTGGCTAAACATTTGCAGACATCGACAAGCCTACAGAAGAGTCATTGTTGGCCATCGAAATCCCTTCGGCGAAAATCTCTGCATCTCTGGACCTCTGGACAAATGCTCGTACGTAACGCTGGCATCGTTTGTAAACTACTTGCATAGAGCTCGTCGTGTTTGTCGAGTACAAATCGTTGCCATTTCGACGTGGCGTGCTATCCTCGTTTGGAAGGCCTCGCACGCGGAGCGCGATAACAGTTAGCAAAAATCAAAGCGCACTTCAGGCAACTTGGCGATTACGATTTCGCAAAACGCTCCAAGCTATGTAATGTAATGTGTGCGAGCGCAAGTTGCTTCTCCCGTGTACGCATTATTGCCGGCTAACGAGGAGATGCTCCGCTAATGCCTGTTTCATGCATCGTTTGCGAGTAAATGGTATGCACGCGCTTACTGCCGAAATCTCGGCTGTCCGCGCGATGCGAATGGGAAAATAATAGTCGCGCGGCCTGTGATTGCAAGTTTTGATGATTTTCACCGATTAAGTTTACCGAGGCAGATATCCATGATTGTGCATATTACCAAAGTTTCATTAATAAAGTTTCGCAAACTCGAGACCGTTCGTCTCAACTGCTTGTATTTACGAAAACTGTATATTGACCGTGATTAATATAAATAAAATGCACATAGGGCATATTACATAATAAATCTATTCTACTGTAACACAAAAGACCCACGCAATGGAATAGAAAAGGGAAGCACGTAAAAGGCAGATACACAAAGAACAGCTCATAAAAAATAGCCACTCTCAACGTGAAACCTATGAATACCAAAGCCCACGCTGCGGTGTACACATACATACAGTTACGCACTTAAGATTCGAGAGGCGCGACCTCAAGCAAGACTTATGGGGCTGGCTAGGGAGGAGGCCTCGGTTACGTCGATTATATTCGGCAGGCTGCCTAATTCGTCCCAAAGGGCAACCGGCAGCAGCAGCAGCCTCTAAGCTGTTTGAAATTCATTTGGTAGCCGCGGCCGTTCACGGTGTCTCGGGCGGCGCTCAGGGCCCGAACGAGCAAGCGCATCAAGATGATGGCTCGACCAAAGCACCAACCCAAGAGCAACCAGTCGTGAGTCCATATTTACACCACACGCGTGTGCGAGTGATTCCACTCCGACTGACACCATTCAAAAGCGTCTGAGGGGAATACCGTGACAAGTGGTTTACGCGTTTCCGGAGCTTATGCGTAAATCGACGCTTTTTGTGCGAGTTCATTAAATGACCTGCGAAGAGTGCAATAGTTTAACAATTTTTTTTCCACGTAGCCATTGCATACAACCATTCTCTATCCTCGACGTCTACAACGTGATTTCACCGTCGAACGGACGGTGTTTCTACGCTGTTCCTTATTCGCCGCGCTTTGACAGATTTTTATTCCTGCAAACTCGTCGAGCGCAGGATAAATACGAAGATATCGATTTCAATAAAGTTTTTCTGTTATCGCACAAAGGCAAAACTGATATTTTTGAGATTGAAAAGTAAGAAAGGCGACGAATATTTCAGATAAAACAAAGAAAAAGAAAGATGTTTTCTTCTGAAATAACAGCGATCGATAGACCGTGCACTATAAAAACAAAGATGAGAACTCAAATTCTTATCTCTTAACTGTACACCACTTGACACGAAACAACCGCTCCAAACTTCCATGCATACTTGGAAGGGTGGAATAGAGTTTGTCAGAATTGCTTTCATCTGGCGTCGGTGGCGTCTTGCTTACACCTTTATTTCTTCTTTTTGTAGGCGGGTGTTGCTGCAATATTCGCGAGAACGTCGTGAGCCGAGCAGGTGGCTCTTTGATCTGGCGTTACCGAAAAAGAGGTTAGTAACACTCTCTTTTGCTTACAACTTTTGCACCGACGACGTCAAAGGACATCTCCTTTTGATTTGGTTAAGTGGATTCGGCCGTCGTGTATCTCTACTGAGACGACAGAGAGATTGCGTGACAGGTCTCTTTTAATTTTTAAACCTGTCCTCGAGACGAGATAAAAGAGTCGCGGAGATCGACGTTAAAAGGAGACGATAAGTTTGGGGAGTTCGGGGTTTCTCCCTCGAGAGTGGCACAAAGAAAGTGAGAGAATTGAGTTTTACATTTGTCACACCGAGCTGATATATCGCTTTCTGCGTGAAATTCAATTCCGATACGATTTTTTTTAAAACATGCATCGCGATTCAAATGTTATCGAATGGCACTTAATAATAGATATTAGAATAAATTCTTGTTAATAAATGAACAGTATGAAATGCACCTGTAGAATGGCAAATGAAAAACTAGAGCAAAGCGATTTTACTGATAGACTTTGAAAGGTTCTGAATGGCAAACAAAGACAAAAAAAAGGATCCATTCTCTTGTACTTTTCATTTCAACTTTTGTAAAGTGACAAAGCTATAAGAGAAAGAGAGAGAGAGTGAGAGAAAAAAAGTAGAGCGAGCGGAGTCATTAAATGCGAGGAAACAAGTTACACGAACCTTGAAAAAGGAGAAGCCATTATTTTCCAACAACACGGTACCTGTTGAGATGCAAGATTCTGCTTCAAAGTGTAACGCGTAGTACAATGGAAAGAAAGCATTTCAAATACTTGCTTATTATCTTGGCAAATTGAGTATCATCTAAGGGTTGCTATAGAAAATTCTTTTTCACTGGTACATCTGAAAAAAGGGATTAAACTATTCGCGATATCCAATTTCATCTGTAAGTTCGTGTACGTAGTTGAGTAATTAAATCTGTAGAAAATTTTTCATACGCGCTTGTTTTAGTCTGCGTATTACGAAGATGTTAGAAATCTGAGATAATATATTCACGTGGGAGTTATGTTTCGAGAAGAAATTATTTTACACGCATGGATAAGTTGATGAATATTAATAGTCGAATGTCTGGGCTTCGAATGTTCGTGCGTTTGAATTTTTCAGAAAAATAGTCTTTCTACTTTATAAATAACAGACATAAGCACAAGAAAAAGAAAATCCAAAAAGAAACGAGAAATTTAATACATTTGTAAGCTTTACAAAAACGTACAGTGTGCTTTCACTTAAAGACCAACCTGCTGATTGAGAGAGTCTCCTCAATAAAGCTCTCGACAGCAAACAAAGTAAATCGCAATTTTGTAGCATTAGTGACGCGCCGGTAGAAGTGTGCGCGCGCTGATTGCCGCACGTATGTCGTCATCGTCCCGGGCTAACGTCTTCAAATCTCCGCGACCTCTCCTCTACCTCTTTCTCTCTCTCTGCACTGTCGTGTCTCATTTTGTGATGTTTAATTTGTGCGCATCGCTCGTCTCTCTCCCTCTGAAGCATCACTCGACGTTTTGTCATTTAATTTACGTGCGCTTATTCAGTTTACGTCTACGGAAAATCTAATCCAAGTCAACAACATAGACTCAAATTGTATATAGTTATGATTATATAATTCGCGCGTATGTACGAATGCTAAAATCGCCTTGGGGTGGTTCGGTTTAATTGCGAGTTATTGATCTTGTCGACAGTAGTTGCTTGAAGGGTAGCTTTCTTTTTTATTTTTTTTAATTAGGGCCCGCGGCAAGGCAAGTTTGTTTAATGCTCGTTCGCTTCGGGTCAATTGCAAGTGTTCCGCTTTGAGTTTAGTTAGAATTTCCAACGTGCGCGCAGTGCGCGTGTACTCAAAGCCGTTCGACTCGGCAGCTATTTACTTTTTCTCGGACATTCGTTGAATCGAATTTTCGAATATTTACCGGTATAATGTATTCTCGTACGAATTGGTCTTCAACGTTAAAGGGAATTCGCGAGCAGGGCACTTAACGCAACAGCGACGGCGGCGGCGTCAGGGCAATCACGGCAAACGACGTGCCCTATTCGCGAGGGCCTTGAAGAGAATTGCTAGGCCAACTATCCTTTGCACTCGTGCGCCGCGCGCAATAGCTCTGAGCGACATCGCGACCTAACGAATGCTGCAGACGTTAGAGAACGAGAGAAAAAAGAACGAGTACATCATTCACGTACTATGAATTTTTCGCCGCTGCTCCTGCTTGCTCGCGCACTTGCCACGACTCAGAGAAAGGAGGAGGCAAAATGCCGTAAATTATGTAGCTGCAGAGCGAAAACAAACCTTCGTAATCCGACGCGTGTTGTTAGGAGCGACTAAGACGCATCTTCCCGCGAGCTTTTGTCTCTGGGTGTGTGTAGGCAACCTCGCAAATCTGCTCTCTTGGCTTTGCTCGCATTTTTCTTCTTCTCGATCAATGATTTATATCGCGGAAACTTGAAAAAGCGTATCGTGGTTTTACGTCACTGTCGCTATTTCAATATAGAAATATGCAAACGCTTTTCGAAAATTCTATATTTATTTGGGTTCGACAACTTTAACAAGTTACTTGCTAGAAATTATAAACACATTTCGTTGCATGTTAGCATTATAAAAGGAGAATTTAATTTCCAGCGAAACTCGCGTAGTGATCTTACAGAACTCGCGGTTCTCATATCTATTTCATGAAAAATTCATGTTGTTTGCCTTTTTTTACTTCACTTTACGTCCAGCGAAAAAAAGAACATATGCAGCGCGGAGATAAAGAGTGCCCAATTTAAAAAACAGCTTAAAATGATTAATACGCTGCTCCGATAAAGTTTACAGCCATCGGCCAAGAATATCGCATAAACGTGAGCCTCCGCGGTTCACGCCCTCAAGCATCACAAATTATTTTTAGCTATTCAATAATTCAGTTTCAATCAAATAATATCTCGCGGACAACGATTCCCAGGGCTCTCTGTATTCAAAGGGCAAACATCGCGGCTCTCCATAAAAGACATCCCCGAGCTTTTAGAGGATTTAACGACCGGTGACGACGACGGGAGGTGTCATCAGAGTCTTAATCATCGTGTTCGCGACAGCGTCGAATGATTTCGCAGTCATTACTCTCAGTAATGACTCTCCCCATCCCTTGCACACTTCCCGTCTGGCGCGCACTCTCCTATATATCCTCCCGGAGCTTGCGACATAGAAAATTAAACGCGACGCGTCCGTTCGAAACTCTTCGTCGTCGTCGTCGCCGCCACCGCTGCCGTCGTCGTGAAACTTTGGTCTCATTGTTGCCGCGTACGCTGCTGGCGCGCGCGCGCGCGTCCATGTGCTCAGGTGCTTTCACTCGGCGAAAGTTGTCATTTCGTTGACACTTGATATTTGTTCGTGCTTGCGTTTTTGATTTCAATCACGGAGAGACCCAGCCGTCCTACGACCGACGTGTACGAACGCGCCTATTCATCTTGCTTGCTTGCTTGTTTGCTGTCTGCGATTGTTGTTTATTCCGTGGATACGCGAGGATAAACTTCACGCAACTTCGGGAACTCTATGGCATAGTTTTGCACTGTTGGTTTTCGGAAAATTGCCTCACCTATTATACCACCGAGGCTTCAGTTTCGCATATATTTTGTTGACGTTTCGAAGGAAAAACGAAGCTGGCGTGAGTGAGCATGCAGTTTTTGCCTAAAAGTTTAATCAAGCGCGTAGTCGGATGAAGAATAAAAAAAAATGGCTTGGAAGCTTAATTCAATCGCTTGATTAAAATCGAACTCCTCGGAGGCAGTGGCCGGCCAAACACCAGAGCGAAAGACCGCAAATAGAACTCGGCCAGCTCTGCACTAATTCCAGATCGACAACAGCAGTTCCAAGCTCGGTCTCACTTTCGCACCCCTCCCCCGCTTCTCACTCCTGGGTAGCTGAAACAACACAAGGTTCCCTCAGGCCATTCCACGCTATATATACGAAAATTCAAATTCGCTGAGCGGAAAGACCAGTGAGTTTTGATCTTACGTGTGAAGAGTCATTCTTTTTATAAAACTTTTTCTTTTTCTGATGCAGACTCTCTGTCTCCCTCTCTCTCCTCTCTTTCTCTCTCTCTCTCCTCTCTCTCCCCTCTCTTTTACTCTTCTCACTCTCCTCTCTTTCTCTCCCTGTCTCGCTGGTCTTTTTCTGGATTATAATTCAAGCTCGTCGTCACGGCGTGTTTCGCGCTTCATGCTCTCGTGAGCAGAGCACGCTGGATCGACTTTTTTCTTTTTTGCTTTCTTGTTTCGAAGCTTTGCGTGAAAATTCTCTCGACTATGAGTTTGACTCCTTTATTTTTTTCTTTCTTTGAGTACTTGCTTCGTTCCGTAGTAGGTAAAAATTAATATTATGATAATCAGTTGAGTTTACAAAATGAAGAAGAGGTGTTATGGTTGGATTACAATTGAAAGAAAAAACAATTGAAAAATTTGTATGTTCAATTTATTTTCTTTATATGGTACCAAAATGACCCTCAATGTATTGAAAAACAGCGAACAATAACTTTTTACGCGTAGATGATTTAGCTTTTTAGTAAAATTTAGCAAAATTTTAAAAATTTATTTATAGAAAAATACATAGATAGCTAAACTCACCTGCAAATGAACATGAAGCTTTTCTGCACAGAGTTTATATTACATATAAAGAAATATACCAAACAATTTAAAACAATATTCACAGCTAATATCTTAATTACTAGGAGCTTATAACTAGAAAATGTACAATATGACTTATTACACATTATTTCTAATCCAATTTTTCTTTAATAAGTGTTTATCAATTTTTAAAATCTTTAATTTACGAAGGAATGAGTTAAAAATCTTTATTACAACTACACTGCTATATTTGAAATATTATCTTTTTAAACCATATCAATTATTTACTTCTGCTTCTTGTTCTGCTATTAGAATTTATATCATTATTTTTTAAATTTTCATAACAATAAACAAGCAATTCAAAAGTAAATTTTTGATCCAGGCTTAAAAGGTTATTATCTTTTATAAAAGTTGTCTTACTCATAAACTTTAGTAACTTATTTTATATTTCTTGTAATGAATAGAGTGCAAACTTACTAGAACTACCCTATGCAACAATCATGTAATTCAATATACCTTGGAATTATGCATATTATATAGACAGTAATATTTTTATACTAAAAGTTTATGCCAATTTATAAAAAATGAAAACCAAATATTTAGTTCTATCCACAAGGCTATTTACGTAGAAATTCTATTTCAGATTGAAATCGATGATTACGCCTAAATATTTACAAGTCTTCACTCTCTATAATAGTCTATCATGAATTTTAATTTCAACTTGTTTGGAGAGATTGTCTCTGTAGCTGCTAAAAGCTATAAAAACTGTCTTGTCAATATATAGTATTAACCTGTTTTATTAAAGTTATTTAGCTTTTTTTTTGAAATTTTCATTCTTTACAATAGTATTTTCTCATTAATTATTTTTAGCTAGTATTACTTTGTCAAAATGTAAAATCAAATTATGCCATTCAATAATTATGCTAGCTGCTCTTTTTAATGAGATAAAAACAGCAAAAAAACTGAAACGAAAATAATGTAACCCTATCAGTACGTTAATTTTAAGTTACGCACACCAGGTGTGTGTATTGTATATCAAAGGGGATTGAAAGAGGGAGCCAAGTCAATTAATTTGATTCGGCGCATTTAATCGCTGAATGAAAAAGAGAGAATCGAGAGAGAATCGAGAGAGAGAGAGAGAGAGAGAAGGGCTGGCTTTAAAGGACTGCCATTTAACTCACACAATAGCATGGTTTAATCATTACATCGGATGCATTGGAATTCAATGAACGAACCAAGTGGGAAAACCGTCTGGCGTGGAAAAAGCGTGTGCACGCGAATATCAAACAGCCGATCGACACCTGACAGGTTTTTTCTATATACCTCTCACTCGTTTGCTCTTTTTGTTTAATTCGCGCGCGCTCGCGGACGTTACAATCTGGGACACTGCGCAAAACGGTTCTGGTAGTTTTTTTTTCTTAAACGAGTATTATAACGAAAGAAGTGTTGATAATTTTTACGTAGTAGTTTGATTTATGGGAAATTCGGATTTTGTTTTACAATCTAATTTTCGTGAATTGACAATAATTTATGACAATGAGGTTTATTTATATAGTTAGGTCATTTGAAAAAAAATTTAAAAAAATGCATTAATAGCAATAAGACGAATTAGCAAATTCGATAATTTTATAAAACAAGATGTCTGTCACATTTTTAATTTATTTATTTTTGTTCAGGGGAAAAAGCTGTTCTTCTGATAACTTACCAATCATTCTATATTAATATTTTTATTGGAAACGAGTAGACTGCTCGTGAGTGCTCGGCGTTACCTTCTGGCTCAAGGCAACCGTGCGATGTTGGCCAACATCAGTGCCCAGCTGCGTGGGCTTAGCAAGTCTCGCTATCAAAGCTATCGAATTATCTGCAATGCTCTACGCCAACGTGCAGCTGCTCGACAGTAAGTCTTCCCTTTTTCCTCTTTTTCAGGTTCGCACCAGTCGATCGAGTCACTCGATTTCCCTCTTTTCGTCCATTTGTCTCGCAACCTCCATTATGCACTCGACCGGAGAAGTGCACTAAGCAAGATAAGAGAGGAAAAGGGATGACAATTGAGATTGCGTTTCGTCGTTTAGCTTGCGGTGTTTGCTTTTTCGTTGAATGTTTTAATCAGCCAAAGTGATTTCGATTGTCAAGCTTGATGCATTTTCGTCAGTTAATTTTAATAATTTGATAAGTTTCTAATGATTTTATAAAAGAGCAGAACCGTCCTTTTTCAATATATTGCAACGCTGTTCGAGAAAAGGTAAGCAAACGATGATAGTGAAACAAAAAATAAAAGTATTCTGAAATAATAGAAATATTACACATCCAAAGCAAATTCAGAAATAATTCAAACCAAAGTAATTTATTTACATACTCTGTGATAATGAAATGTAACGATAGCTGTCAATCACATCATTCTTTTCGTTTTTTACATTTCTTTCCGTTTGACGAAAATGCTAAAACTGCAATCTTATATCTCAATTAAGCTGTATTGTAATAGCAAATATTTGATTTGAACGGAATATCTTGTTATTTCAATCGCAGCAAAAAAGTGCTTGTCGATAGAATAGAACTAACTTTAAATTGCACGTATACTTCAATCCTCTCGGCGAAAGTGTTATCAGAAGACTCGCGCAAAGAAAGAGGAGAATGAAAGAAGATAGACATGTTCACGTAAGTGTGAGGTTCGCCTGGAAAATTTGTCTTTCAATCCGAGCGACGACCGTCTCTTTGTACTACCTCCCGCCGTGACGTGAATCTGACTACCGTTGTTGCTGCTGCGGCGATTCGACTTTGTCTCACTCGGCAACCTCGTTTAGCCTAAGTGCATCCCTCGAGTTGTATTTCTGTTCTTTTTTTTTCTTGCCTACACTCGGTTCTTTTATGTCCACTTTAAAACATACACACACAACACACCGTTCCATTGTGTACGCTGCCAGCAATTTGTCTCCCTGTTCTTATTGTCCTTTCTGACCGTCCTGCATTCTCCCTCTTTTCAAAGTTGGCTTATCGATTTTCCAATCCACCTGCCATTCGACGTGCTCCCTATGAGCTTTCTGATTTTTCTCTCGACGCGCCTGAGCTTTTATTTTGCCATTCTACTTTTGCCTTTTGGCGTAATGCACCTCGCCGATTTCTCTCCCTCCCCCTCCCCTCCCCCTTCCCGCTCTCGTTCTTTCTTTGCCATTCTCGGTGCAGGCGTTTTGCTCACTTACTTTTGCGCGTTCTTTAGCGCGAATTGCTCGCGTAAGAGTCGGAAATAATTTGGGCCTCCTTCCGCTCGATAGATTCTTTCTTTATCGCTCCTCAAATGCTCGCGCACTTGTACTGCCGGAATATTGCTTGGGATCTTTATATATACTTGTCTTGCTGCTGCTACTACTGCTGCTGCTGCTGCTACTGCTGCTACTGCTGCTACTGCTGCTACTGCTGCTACTGCTGCTACTCTTACTACTATTACTGCTACTGCTACTGCTATCGCAACTGCTTTTCTCACTTGAGTTATTGGAACTGCAGTCGATTGATTTTCAAAAACCTGCTCGTCTACTTTGTTTGCATAAATCTATTACAGATAGGCGTCTGCTACTGTCGGAACTCGATTCATTGTTACATATAAATCAGCTCTAATCGAGATATCACTGAACGCATCAAAATCGCGCAAGCAACAAGGTCGTGAAAAGTTCTACGAAATTTCCATCGGCCATTTTGTTTCAGTAAGTCGAACTTTCTGACGTTGTTCCTATCGAATTGTTTATCATACATCCAGAGTATTTCCACGTCAGCGAAAACGATTTGATGCTTTGCCTATAATTTTGCCAATGATCGTAGGTTTAACGCAGCTGAGGTTCTCTTTTTTCGATATGTTCTTAATCGCTGCTTCGCAACCGAAAATATTCTAGAAACGTCGTCGTTAACTTCTGGTAATTTGCAACTGAATGTAGCACGTGCGCTACGTGCACTCGGCAACAGCATTCTGCGGTGAACGATCTCCTTTGCTTGGGTTTAATAAAGCACCAATAGAGATGCGTAAATCAGAAATTGACATTCTCCGAACTAGGTAGAGTCGCAGTGGGATGCCTACTCCTTTTGGCGGGCCGCAGCCACCACCACCACCGCGGTTGGTGGGCGTGCAGGATACGTCTATTAGTGAGCAAGAGAGAGAGAGAGAGAGAGAGAGGCAGAGCATTCGACCCTAACTCCAAGCCGTCACACATAGTTCGTGGAATAATCCAACGACGCGCAAGCGCGGGAAATTGGGAACGTGGGATGTGGGCGCTTTAACCGGGGAAATGACAATTATACCCTGAGCCTAGACTACCCTTGATATAGGGTGCGAGCGCGCCAGGCTTTTGCCTATATCACTATCCCACCAAAGTTGACGCTATTAAATTTTCTTAAACCTGGATGAAGGTGTAATTGGCGCGTTTCAATAATAACTTGAGACTTATTGACTACGAGTTTTGTGCTTAAATCGTATTATGAGTTTACTTACATTATATCAAAAAACGAGGAAGTTGGAAAAAATTAAAGTCTCCATTAGCGGCAAAGTGCACGCTCGAATAGTTTATTCGCAAACAAGCTGTTTGATTTCCAACTTTGGCGCTCACGCACTGATCGAACTGTTGGTTTATTAAGCAAGCCGCTTTTCGCCCGACAGTTCCGAAATCCGCGCGGGGCTCTCGCAAGCGTTAAGCCGACGAGTACCACTTTCACGGTCAGAAGGCCAGCTGAATATTTCACGAGCCACTTGAGGCAGAAGCCACTCGCGAGAGTGCGACGAACTTTTTTCCGACTACTTTTTCTCACCAACTACAACTAATGGATTTTTCAGTTATGAAATCGAATTCGTTAGTTTCTCTCGGGCCCTACTCTACTCGGTTATTCGTCTTCGCGATAACGATTTAATTCATCTCGCTGATCAGTTTGAAGCAAGGTGATTTTTTTATTTTAGTTTAAATTAATCTCTTAAAGGTCACTTTAAATTATCTTTCAAACGTTCACTTCAAGCGTTAAATGATGTCTTTATTCGCTGAAAGAGAATATTCGATGAATATGCTGGATTCTTCGATCATCTTTTGGAGATAGTCTCGCTTTTTTAGTTGAATAGCGATTTATAACGATACGATAAAATAGTCGAATATTCTTTAAAGTTAGATTTGTTTTAATAAAAATAAAACGAAATTTAATAATGAAAAAATCAAGCAATACCAGACTGCGCAGTGTTATCTAGAGCGACTAGCATCATTCGCCAACATATTTCAAGGGAAACAAAGAAGACCTAGGGAGTCGAGGATTTGCATGATCCTATAGCCATACGAACACACATACACATATATACTAGTTCGTCTGCTCACGTGCAACCTATAAGCCATAAATGGCGGGACGTACGCAGAATATCCTTCTTTCTCTCTCTCTCTCTCTCTCTCTCTCCTCTTTCCCCTTTCACCCTCCCCAGGCTCTCCTCTCTCTTCTCTCTCCCCTCTCTCTCCCTTACCCCTCTTGCGGGCGTCGGTTGGGCTGGCGGTGACCGCTCAAATTATTACATTATGTGACCCCACTGCTCATCTCATATTATACTTCTATACGTTATATTCTGACTCTTATTACCAGTTGTCTTTATTAAAACACTGCTGCTATCATGACAAAACTAATTAACTTTATTTCACTAGCTTGACAGGTTTTGCAAAAAGCTTCGTTAAGAATTCGTTAAGATATTAGAGTGGCTACTTGCCACTGTTTCGATTGTATTTATGGAATGGCACGTACGCACGAATTGTTCTTCACGAATTTCATTTGATGCTCAGCTTCTTCAATTCATCCCTTTGTAATGTTTACCAAAGCATTTTTCACTACAGGCTTTTTCTTTAGTGTTCATCTCAAAGTGAAAATCTTAACATTTTTTAATTTAATTTCTTTTCACAAAGGATTCATTCCCGCGTTTCAGCCTTAATTGAAACATTTCTTTTGTAAGTATAGAGGAGCTCTAGAAAAAATATTAAAAATTATTTCAAACCAGTAGTAAAAAGTTACGTCCCTGACGGAGATAAATCTCGTAGTTTAATAACCCCGGCTCGCATTTAGCACCAGTGCTTGCGTGCGTGACGTGACAAAAAAATAAAAATAAGAACTACCGGCTTGCGAGAAAAAATCGAGTGGCTTTTTCCTAATACGCATTATGAAAAATATAGGCGTTGGAAAAGAAAAAAGACGAGAACACAAAGTGTACGTATTTGACCTGCGCGGCCGATATTCGTAAAAGTTTCTGCAAATATTTTTTTCCTCTTTCCCAGGGAGAAAATTAGAAAAAAATTACGGCGCTGCCTTTGCAAGCCAAGCGATTGGGAAAGACACAATAAGTTTCTTGAGGTATTCGCAAGGCCTAAAAGCTATGCAAAACCAGCCAAACGAAGCGTAAGTATTCTACAATGTACCTTTGTATATCGGTATGTGTGTAACTCTCTATGAGTTTGCCAGTGAAACGACACGAATTTGATTGAGCTATCGGATGATCAGCCTTGATGCGGTAGCTTATGGCTTTCACGCACGCCCATGCATGTATATAGATATTGGAATGGAAAAAAGTCAGTCGCAATGCGTCGTACAATCTTCATTATTCGCTGGCAACGATTAATTTGAAATTTATTTTTTCATCCATAATTGGCGAAATACGTGTCCATTAATATGTTTCTGATTGAATACTTAAAAAATAATATATTCGTAAATATATAAGTTAACCGGTGGTTAAAATTTAGTGATTAGGTTTCAAATCATCATCAGTTTAACCCACCAATAAATTCAAAGAATTACGAAATGAGCATATCAAATAAAAAGAATATACCTCCAAACAATTGTTCTTTCCAAAGCTTTCATTTGCATACTTGACTTTTACGAGCTCGCGCCGCTTTCATTTGAGCGTAGCTAGAACACGGAAAACAACTACCGCGGTAAATTAGAAAAGGAAGTCTTTATGAAAAGTTGGATTGTGTGCAATTTCGATGCTTGTACAAGCACACGCCCTCGTAGTCTCGTCGGTTGGATATAGCTTTCCTTATTTATTCTCAGCTCCTCGTTCATGCGCGCGAACGACTTGCCCTATACCATCTGCACGCCTTACTTACACCGCAACCGCTGACTTTTCGCTACTCACTCCATCTTCTCTCTTCCCCCCCCCCCCCCGCCATTCTCTATTCTAATTTTTGACCCCGTGCAGCGTAACCAGATCACTTCATTCTACTTTATTTACTTGCTCGGTACTTTTTTCTTCTCATTTTATAGATTCTTCTTTTGTCGTCGCGACTTGCATTCCTGCATTTTTGAAGAGCAGAAGTGTATTTGTCATGTATTTATTGCAAAATGCAACGTTCCGAGTATGTTGTTAAAATTAGTAGTAAAAGTTTATAATTTACATTTAGTGCAGCAAATTCAATTTAGTTTAAATTGAACGAGCAAATGATTCAAGCAATAAATTATCAGCGAACTGCATTACGAAGTTTTAATTAAATAACTTGTCAAACATTAAACTGCAGAATAATGACACGTTTAGTGATTAATTACACAGCCGATAAATTAATGTTCTGTATACGTGGTATACGATTGTCTTTGGAAATCATAACATGATTGAAAGGCACAACTCACCAATTACAACTTGATACAGCCTGGGCGCCGGGGCAAAGGTAAGAAGAAGAAGCAATTGCCCGATCCGGCACGGATGAATCTTCTCGCACAGCCAGCGCGCAAAAAAACGACAGAGATAAGAGATCCATTTCGAGTGCGAGCCACAGCTCTTAAGTACGAGATCACTGATCGAACCCGTGAACTTGCCCAACATCGCGTGCGTCAGGATCAGGAGCCTATAAGGGAGCTTGGAACTGTAGCACTTGAAGCACTTCAGGCTCATGGTAAGCTTTTAATATATCACTGCGGTTTATCATTTGATTGACACCCGTCTGTAGTTTTGGAACATTGAGTGATACATTTCAACGAGAATGTTGTTTCAAAATTACTTAGCTATCATTCAAATAGAGATATAGGTGATGGGTTATTAATAGTTATCGTTATTATCATATATGCGTATAGTTAAGTTTCGTAAAGAATGCGAGGATGATAGAATATAAGCTCATAGGAAATAAACGGGGATACAAGTACAGCTTTTGACTTTTAAAAAGTTCCAAAACTTTTTAGCATGTTAGTAGCTAGTTTCTCGAGAAGTTCATTTTCGAGGAAAATTTGAAGACTTGAGTGAGAAAGTTACATCACGAATTCTAAGAAATTTCATGGAAACTTTTCTGTCTCTTTTTTGTCAACTCATCTTATTTAAAATAGTCATGCATCTATGAATATGAGACAATTTTTCATGTTAAAAAAATTTAATATAAAAGAAAGTCATTTTTCAAATGTGAGTTGATTACTTCAGATTACTTTTCTCAGAAGCAAGACGCAAAATTTGAAAAAATAAAAAAATAGTTATGCAACACTATGTGAACACTAATTTTATTTTATTCTTCTATTATTCGGTATATCCAAAATAAAATTTAGAAACATTTTTAAAAGAAGCACTGCATAGAAACATTTCGATGCAGGTGGTTCATTAGAAGTTAGAAAATAAAAATTCTAAACATGAAAAAGTCTCTGTTTGGTTTAACATATGATTGATCACTATATTAATTTATTATAGCAATTTTTAAAAGTAAAACTAAGCAAAAAGAAATTTTATAAATTAAATAATTTTAGGTTCCAAGTTTAATAGAAAACACAATCTTCACAATAACATCAGTAATAATTTTAATGAACATAGACTCTGATTGTTTGCTTTGTATAAAATAATGATGTAAGCTTTTCTTTCGGCATTGCAATTTAAAGTTTTATCGCTTGATCTGGAGCAAGTATGTTTAGCATTAAGCTCTTTTATCCATCTTTCCCCTATATAGCTTACTGCTATTGTTCAGTCATGAATACTAATTGAGTACTTTTTAATCTTTAATGACTCATTATGACTAAGTACTTTCATCTGCATATACTTATGCATTGATTTGGCTCGCCAAACTTCAGAATATATTCATAATTCTGACGTAGTCTCGTCACTTTTATTTTTATTATTTTCTACGCTGTATAAAAAAACATTTTCGTAAATATTTCCGACAGCATTAAAAGCGAAGGAGAAAGTTTTTTCATAACCATGATCAACAGTTTACATTAACTGTTATTAATTATAAAATTTAAAGACAGAAATATGATTTGTAGAACCTCACATTGCTAGAGAATTAAAACTAACGATTTCTTATCCAATTTTAATCATATCGACTTTGTTTTTCTGCTCGAGATGTACCTTTCACCATTTTTGGAACGAGATTTTTTTACTTGGTGCGTTATAAAGCAAAAAAGCCAGAGAACGCTCATACCCATCAGATTTTCTTTTTTATATTTTATTTCTGTTTTTAAGATTGCAAAAAACAAATACCAATATTTTTTAATTTACCACTTTGCCCAAATGCAAAGCTTATTTTGCCATTATTCATTTCCAATAATGGATCAAATTTTGACTACCAACTTTAATCAGCGATAAAGTACCCGCGGGCTTTGAAGTTTACCGAAGCTTCAAAGTGTGCCTTTACTTAACAGGATTCCCCCTGGAGGACGTTGAGGGAAATACCTATTTAAGTTGTCGCGCTTTGGAAACAGGCGAGACCTATATATAATCAAAGCAATCAGTTGAAAACATAGTGTCTTATACAATTGTTTTAATGAAAGTATGTGACAACCGAAATGTTATGCCCATTTAAATATTTCAATCTTTTAACGTTGAGATGCTACATTTTTGTCTTAGATCTCAAAAGCTGTTGTCATGGATTTCTCACGCGATTGCATTTCACCGTATAGAGGAAGTTTATAATTTTAGCTTCTTCATCTATAGGATATAAATCTAGCATAGCCTTACTAAGAGCGTCGACATCCAAAGGACTGAGTTGATGCTTTCGTTTCTTTGCCGTAGCAAATAGCCGTATACTGGAGTTGGCGAAGCCAATGGTGCGCGAGCCAGGCGCAGAAACGGACCTCAGAGAAGACGCGTTTTCAGTGTCGCCAATGGCCCTCAAAGCCGTATGCCGACCTCGAGTCAAAGTCCTCGCTCAGCCGAAAAAACGTCGTGCTAAAGCCTAAGGGAACGAACCCTTTAAAAATAAAACAGATTGTCATATTTTTCATCGCTTCATTATTCAAGGCAAATGCGAGTCGGTTTTTCTTTTTCTCTTTTCTGTTATGTTGTCAAATTTAATTAGAGAGTTATGTGCGAATGAACGGATGTGTAAATCGAACAAATTCAATTGTATGAATTACTCGGTTCTGATTCATTGCATTTGTTTGATAACGTAAAAACGTGCAAATATGAATGTAAACCATTTTCGTGAGCTTGAGCATTCGTTAAACATGTATTAATTTTCGTAAGATCTACTTACCAGTTCAGTGTAACAATGTCTACCCTTTGTCAATAAATTTCCATTTCATTGAATGCCGCTGTTGTTCTCACTTATTGAACGAAAATAAAGCGAAATTCAAAAGAAATGCAGATGAATAAATCCGATCAGATCCAAGTTTTAATAAAATAAAGCGAGCGAATAGAATATAAAGATGCGTTTCCGTGAATATCGGTAGAATTATTTATTTTAGCGTCAAAAAACCAGGTATGAAATATGTATATCGATACTCTCGAAGCCTTAACGATAATTAATAATTGAGAAACATTAAACCGTTGAGCGTTCAATTAATATCCAACAAAATGCGAACACAGTGTTGTCCTAATTTTCTGATCGAATAGACTCACACAGTTTGTATTGCCAACATGCTAAAATTCGCTCATCGAAATTAGTTTGCGCGTAATCGCACAGGAAGAGAGGACTTCAATAGCTGAGGCCGAGTATATTATCGTCGATAAAATTAATTAGATTTTTGTCATACTCTCAGTGAATTTATTGTTTGATATAGGCACGATAATCAATAACCTAGGCCTAATTATAATAGATTGAGTATTCGCGATTTTCCATAAATGCAATATTTGCTTTCAATTTATTCTGCACTATATTTAATTTAAAAAGGACTCGATGATGACGACGATGCCAATCCACTTTTAATTTTTTTTGTAGCTCGCACGTGAGTAAATTTGATTATGCAATCAAACAAAGTTCAATGAATAGATGGATAAAGGAAAATAGGGATTGAATTCATGTTTATTCATCCATTCTTTTGGCACGGTGAATTTTAAACGACCAGGCTTAAAGCTACTCATTATTCGAGATAACGATATCCAAATCTTTACAAACTCTACGTACTTTTTTGTTGTTACAACTCATGAATATCAGTATTATAAAAAAGGATGCTAGCGAATCTGCAATTAATGACCTAAAAGTAAAATTGGACGCGCGCGTTTGCAAGTAAAACTTTGTTAATCATTGCTAATTTTAATTCGTGTCCTACATTTATCTTTCCTAATTATTGACTCCTGATTCTCATTGTAAAATTATTAAAACAACGATTCTCTAAATAGAACTGTAGTATATTTTAAATAGAACTCTAATGCATTTTAACCCTACAAATTATGATCAATCATATCAACAGCAAAAAGGTATTAATAAGGCTGAGAGAACAAAAAATCCTAAAATGAAATCTCAGAAGGCATCGATCTTCTTTAGTGAAAAGTAAGGTAAAAAAGAAGAAGAAGAAAAAGCTTGGTACCCAAGGGAAGCGCCTGCCACAATAACGATAAAGCACTTAAAAACTTTTATCAGCTGCGAAGCTCGTCAAGGCAATAATGGAAGCTTGCAAGTTCAGCAGATTCACAGCTTTGTTTTGAAAAATTCGCCCACGTAAACAGGCTATTAATTCGATACTCAAGCAAATCATTCTCTTATCGATATTATTTTCTCTGTCTCCCCCCCCCCCTTTTTTTCTCTTTTTCAAAATAACCAACTCATTGGAAAAGTGTGCACGGAAGGAAAACAGTATAGTCTAAATACAAATCACAACTACTGGCTTGTTGTTGAGCGCCAAGGTAGAGAAGAGAGAAGCATGTAATAAAGCTCGCGATTTTTCGTGAAGGGGGAGAGGTAGCTTATTTGTGCGCGCCACTTCTTTCTGTTTTGGAATTCAGCCAGCAAAGTTGAGCTGCTCTCAGGAGGAGAAGGTAGGGTATCGGAGGGAAAAGACCGATGACACGTGGCGAGCCAAAGTTTTGGGCACGAATGGAATGATGCACTCAAGAAATCGCCGAGGTATTTTTCCACGGCTGAGTCTCTCCGATTTTCAGCCAACCACACCAAGCTCGCTCTTACGCTTTGGCCCGGGATTTCTTCCTTTTCCGGTGAGGCTCGAGCAAGAGCACCGAGTGTCGTTATGGCTATTACTTTTATGAGATATTACACAGATAACGTACACTTGCGAGCACGTTTGCAGATAATTTTCAGCGTGTCGAGTGGCTATTTCACTCGAATAAACTAGAACTGCTAACTTATCTTTTTTAGATTCAGAGAACGTAAAATAAAAAGTAATTTTCATTGATATTTACTTATACAAAATCTTCCATTTGAATATTCATATGGTTTATGTATACATTAACAATATCCATTTAGAATGTTCATTTAAATCATTCAAAAATCAACAAGTGTTAGTCTACATAATGTATTACCCAGCGAGAAACATAAATTTTGTGATATAGTTGTAATATTCAGATTTTCGAAAACCAAGCTCAGGATTTATTTAAGCACAATTTCAGTCACTCGACTCTGTGGTTCGTTTTTACTCCGCTCGCCAAGTTCTCACGGATTGGAGGACATTCGTCAGCTTTTTCGGACTATGTATGCAAGTGCATCTGTACATCCACGAGAACAATTAAGTGAAGACGATTAGGCGAAATGCGCACCGAGATATACTCAGCAGGGCCGGGAGGCATTAGAGCTTGGACAGTAACACGCGCACACAGACACACATACACGCCCGCACGGACGATCTCTCGTACACGATTGTAATTGTAATTGCATTTATTTCACACGTCTAACCCTATTCACAAAGGTCGAGCAACGATAAGAAAAAAAGAGCTTCTCTTTCCAAGGCTTCGATATGAAAAGGTCTATATTCAGTACGCGTACAACTGTTCCAAGGGGTGGTGCGAGCATAGGAGAAGAGATACATCCTTGGTTTTGGTAGCCTCATATCCTTTACGCGTTACGTGGGTTGCGGACGTAAAAACGGCTTTCTTGTAATTTTCTGCTCGGACAGCACGTGACGCGAACTTCATAAAAGATAAAAATATCAGGGCATTATAAGAAAAATCTCTTTTAATGCCTTTCTTCCTTTTTGGCAATACTTTATCCCTCCACTCAGGTATTAACATTCGATCCAAGCGACGCTGACAAAGGAACACGTGCAATTCCGGGTTAAAAGAAATACGTATTCTTCTAAAATGTGAATTGAATATTTTGAGAGCAAAACATATTTCCGAATGAAATAACGTTTGACCCTTGAACAAAAAAGATATATATGTGTGAGGAGGCCAAAGATTAGAAAGGTTTTTTTTTATATTTTGCTCAAGTGGCCATCTCGTGCCGGATGAAGTGGGGCAAAGCGTCGACGGAAGAGGAAAAAAAAGACGAGATAGGGAGAAGACACACAAGAGAGACAGAGACAGCGGGAAAGAAGGAGGGGAGATGACCGGCTTGGCACGGGCGCCTAATCGCCCCTCGTGATAACCGTCTCCTGCATCATAATATCCGTAAGTATTTTTTCGAGGGATAAGCTCTTATCCCATTCCCCTTTCTTCCACCGTTATCGTCACACAGTCTCCTCCCCGCAGCACTTCACTTTGTCAACCGAATCGCGCGCCCGTGCGCGCTTGAACGGGTTGAATCAATTTCCTCAACCATCCTGTCTTTATCGCCGAATTTTCACTCGCGCGCTTTTCGCTCCAGCAACGAGCACGCATTTTATTCGTCACTCCACCCGCATCCGCACGACGAAAATTGCTATTCGGTAAACTACGAGGGAGGCGAAAAAAAGCCTCCTGAATATAATACACATTTGCGAATGAAGCTCGCGTGATTGACGATCGAAAACAACATTAACTCATCATATCAGTTGGAACATCCTTTGATTCGCAGCGTTTATAGAAATGCCGCTGATGAGATTTCGCTCAACCAATAATATTAGGCAGCGACCGAGTTATTGATGCCCACACACAGTCCACATCAATTATCATGCTTGATGAAGGCGATATTGATCCCATTGAGATATAGACATGTACCATTTCGCTCCACCAAGATGAACGTTACATTAATTTTCTCGTCGCAGTAATTATGTCACTGTAGTGTTCTCGTCTTGTCTATGTAACTCATTACGGAATTGAAACAGATGCGTGTTTTACGTGCTTATTTTTGTACTCAGGCAAATTTTCCAACTGTACGGCAAGATTAACTAGTCGTTTTTTTCCAAGCTCGTTGAATGTACCGCAGCTCAACACAGCACGAAATAAAAGACTTGAACAATAGTCAAATAAAGCTACACGATGACATTTATTTGAAGCTCGTGTACCCAACGGACGCAGAGTCATTGACAGCGTTTGGAAGAAGGCAACCGGCGAGGGATAGCGCATTTAAAATTCAAATGGGTGAGCGCAGGCACACGCGATAGCGTTAAAAAATACAGGCCCCGCGAATAATAATGCGAACCACACGTACAATGCAACCCGATACGCAGTATACAGCTGCGCTACCTTTTCTCTTTCTCCCACCTCTGTAGCTCTGTAGCGTACAACAGTCGCGTCAACGCTCACAAAGACAAAGTACAGCGAGACTTTTTTTTTTGTTTTTAATCGGCGCCAAATGAAATATGCTTTTCGCGCCTATTGCTCGTATGTATTCCACTCGCGCGGTTGTTCATTTTGTGTATATCCGATGGGTTTGCTCATATACCTATATACAGTACAGAAAAACACGCTTTGAAGCGACCGGCTCTGAAAATCCACGGTTTGGTAGATTTAGTCGATTTTAAAATTACCTTTTCTGGCTATTGATGATTGAAGTTTGATTGTTAAGTTGGAACTTTTATTGGAGCCTACGATTAATTGAATAGCAATAGGCGTTATTTTGAAATATAATGCGACATGAATTATTGCC